ATCTTGGGAACAGATTAAAACAATTCACAAATGTCACACACAAGCAAATGATGAAGGGAAAGAAATAAAGAGAAAGGGAAGAGAATATAGTTAGTAAAGATTTCCAGGAAGCCTTTTGTCTTTGCTTCATTCCATCCTGACTAGTCTTGCTCAGAGGATTGAGCTTTCATAGCTGCCATTACAATTGGTGCAGAGTTGTTTTATGGAAATACGAATTTCATCAGCAATTTCTATCTCCCCTAGATTATAAACTCCTTGTGGATGAGCAGGCTTCTATTTTGTCTGGTGATTTAATAATATTGTAATGAGATTATTGACAGTGGTGATGTAGTATTAGCACTACCGCTACTCCTCACACTTCCACACTCATAATCTATTTCAGAAAGGTGATTAATTTCCACCATTGAATATATGTGACTTTTAATAATACTCATTTAATGTTTAAAATGTGTAGATCATGGCTGAGACATTACCTCACTTTGATCCTTCCTTCCACAACTCTAGGTTATTATTATCCCTGTTTGAGGAAAAAAGAAAATTAAGGTTATATAAGTTAAGTGACATGTTCAGATTCCCCCAGTTAGTAATTAAGAGCAGAAATTGGCATCCATGGCTTTGCAAGGATAACATCAAACCACGATACTTTCCTCCCTGCTAAGTGTAGGTACTCAAGGAGTGAAGAAACTAAGGAGCGAAAAAATCTTTTCTCCGAAGTTTCCCTTGTACTTTCAGAACTCAGTCATAAACTAACGTTGTAAAGTACCCAACAGATTATTATACGTTTGCCATATTAAGATGTCAAGTCCTCTGAAGGTCCTATTCAATGTTTAGTCTGTTGTGATTACACTATTCCATCAATGATGTAACCACTATGGCTTTGATAAAACCCTGGACTACCACACCAGAAATGCACACTTTTGCTGAAATGTAAACAGCAGAGGTGGCAAGAGGTTGAGGAAAGGAAGTCGTGTTCCTGAGTAGGGGAGGCACAATCCTTTCATAGTTCGTGCATTGCTTGGGGAGAAAGGAATGTCACCCTTCAAACGCCAGTGCTTGCTTCCAAGTGAAATGCTTTCCATTTTTACATAAAGCATTATAGAAGTCAGCAAGTATTATAACTCAGCATTGAGAGGGTATGATAGCAACTCCCATCAGTAAATTTATTCATATACATTTATTGATATTATGGTCTGCCTGGTTAAGCATTTCATACCTTCCAACAGACTCTGTGTTAGTTAACAATGTCTGGGTACCATTCATCATTAAACAGATACCTAACAGTTTCAGATGTCATTGGATCAAGTATAATTCTCAAACAGGGAGGGAAACAGAGAAAAAGTATCTAACTGAAAAGTAAGGATAACAACTGGTTGAGTTGCAGATGATTTACTGACTAGCTTTGAAAGCAAGGATGACTGTTTAATTCCTTCTTAGATTCACTTTCCTTCTTCAGATAAAGGGGTAATAGGATCTATCCTGCATATTTTACAGAGTTGTTAATATTAAGTGAGATAATATATATTGAAGAATCCTAATATTGTTTTCTTTGAGTTTTTTTAGGTTAAAAACGTAGTGCTGGGCCTCCCCTGGTGGTGCAGCGGTTGAGTGCTGTGTTGCGACGCTGCCCGTAGCCTCTGCAGCACCAGTTCGAACCCCGGCCACCAGCGAGGGTCCCACCAAAAAAAAAAAAAAAAAAAAGTGAAGGCTCATGGTAAACAAGGAGGAAAAAGAGCACAAGAGAAAGTAACTAACATAAATAAATAATACGAAACTGATAAAGTGAGAACCATACAGCTTTATGTTATTATAAAGTTTTAAATTAACAATGATACCTATTATCACAATTTATGGCAAGAATCAGATGACAGTGAGCAAATCACTTACTATTACAATTTCTCAACCTGAAATAGTTTATTTTTAACATAAATGTTAAATTTTCACATTATTCTCCAGAGGAAGTCACCAAAAAGTTTGTCACAAATAAAATGAATAGAGTATTATGTTTTACTAAAATGAATATAAAGAAAAACTAGAGTGTGAACTGGAAAATTAAAAAAATAAATATTTGCTAGTTGCCAATCAAAGCTGATAAAACTAGCACTTCATGAAATGTATAAGCATAGCTCAATTTGCAAAATGCCCATGAACTTACCTAATTTGTAGACAAAAGTGATGTTTATAAGCAAATCAGCATTCTGATCTTAACTTAGCTAGCAAGATATCTTTGGAATAATGATTGGACTAGTAAAATTATTTTCTTCAAGTGAATTTCATGAATAAATAATTGTATGAATAATAACAAAAATGCTGTTAAAGAAAATTGCTATTGAAATAGCTACACTGATTAGGTAAATAGGAGGTGAATTAATAATATTAGCTGTTGGTCCTCTATTAATTCAACAAATATTTTTAATACCCATTATAATAGAATCATTGAACTCAACAGTAGAGCTACAAAGTCTAAGAAATCAAAATTCACTGTTTTTCTAGGAGGAAAATACATAGACAGGTGTATCAGTCCATGACCCATGGGCAAAAGTTTTAAACAGAGGATCTACAAAAATGGAAATCTGAAAGACTACTAAGTGTATTTGTAAAACAAATATTCAACCTCTCTCAGTAATCAGAGAAATACAAATTAAAACAAAACCATCCTTTACCTCTCTTGAATTGGCAAATACTAGGAAGCTGCAAATATCATGATTTGCCCACTATGAAATTAAAGCATGGTATCGAGTGAAAATAAAAAGAAGTCAAACAAAAACTGGACAACCATATTATGTAGTAAATTAAAATCATAAACAAACAAACCTTCTATTTTCCAGAGTGACATATTAACTGCAGAAATAGTCTAAGCCATCACAGCAAGTCCTAATGGAGCACAGGAGTAAAGGGATGAAGGGAAGGAAAATGTTGATAAAATAAAAGTGAGAGAAGGGCCTTGCAAAGACTGATAAGGAGGTTGGTTGTAGTATGGGGAGGAGTATGATTAACTTTGTTGTCTACTTGAAACTCAAAAGACCAAACCCAGACAAATGTGAATAAGAACAATAGAACAGAGTAAAATGAAGGAAGACATGCTATGGAAGCAGAAAAGGAATAGATAACAGCTCAGTTAAGTTCTATAAATGAGTTCCAAGGGCCTGCCTCAAGACTCAAAGGGAGACAGAGAGGTCAGAAAAGTAAGGCTGTAAGGACAAGGGGGTGTGAAAGAAATGCTTTAAGGTAAACAAATAAGCAAAATAGCATGAAGTCAAGACACAGAATGTTGTGTTTGGAATATTGCATGCAGTTGTCTTGGATGTGGGGTATTTAGGGAAGTTTCCAGATACTCCTGGAAAGATGCAAGGGGGCAAATTTAAAATTTTTACCAAGGGTTTACTCTGTCAAAGGTAGAGGAAAGACCTAGTATAAAGACTTTGAAATGAAAAATGGGAGCAACATATAAAATCAAAAGATATTTGAGAGATAGTGTTGATAGGTCATGGTTACCTTTTGGTTACAAGTAGTGTGGGAGAGATAGGACACCAAGAGATGGCTCTGAATTTTAGCTTGAGCACTTAAGTGATGGTGTGTGACTCATAGAGGTTAGTAAAGCAAGATTTGAAGAATTTTAGAAGGGAATGTCAGTTCCATTCCATCAAAATCACTCTCCTGAATAAGCTCTTCCAAGTCTCTCTATGACTTACAAAATAAACTCAGACTTCTTTAGTGTTCCCTGAGGACTATATGACAAGACCTTTATTTACCTCTGCAGCCTCATGGGTAAACCTTTCCTGTTATGCTTTAATAAAGCCAAACTTCTCATAACGCTTGGTAAAGAATTTAATATTGAGGAAAGTGTTTTTCCCCTAAATGTAATACACAAGAGACACTGGGAGTGCTTGTGATAACTTGAAGACCAAGCCAACAGAGATTGTTTGAACAATAAATAATTTTAAAGAGATAAGAGAAGCAGGGCTTTAGAAGTATTTCCAAATATGGCTCACATTCTGGCACAGGAAGTCGGGAATAAGGCTGAGAACCTACATTTTGTTTAGTTATAAAAGAACATGTTCATAATGGGAGCATTAAATTGCACACTGAAGTGTAAATAATGTCAAATGTAACAGTGATAAATCCTTCCTTTTGACCCAGAAATTAATACCTAACATGCAATTTTAGAAGACAAAATGGCGAGCTGCCTGGAGATCATGAGGAAACATTCAGGAGTCTAATATATATGTATATATAAACATTCAGGAGTTTAATATATATGTATAATGAACTTGCTAATGATTTGAAAAATGAAACATGCCTAAATTTGGTCCAATTATATCCATATGCACTTAATAAATGACCTTTTTGTAAAATATGGAATTTGGGTAAAGCTGTATGATACTACTAATGTAAAACAGAGATCAAAGAAGAGTAATACTCATGGAGGAGTGTATTGACTAATGAAATATTATTATATTATCTCTGTTATAATCATTATCAGTATTATCTTTATAATAGTGAAGATTATAATAGTGAAGTCTTTATAATAGTGAAGCTATTACAAAGGAAATGTGGAAGGAAAGGTGCTATTGACTATAAAATTCACACATTTAATGTTACAGATTTTGTGTCTTTCCCATAATTTTGTTCTCCCACTAGTTTATTACTAGAAACTTCTTGATGTTTTGGAAGATTTCAAATACAATTTCGGTTTCTTTAATTCAATTTATGCATATTATTGCCAGTTTAATTGACTGACGACAGATGATAGATACATCGATACTTAGATACATCCAAATGTGAACCTATTCAAAATATCACACTTGAATACACTGCTACCTTGAATAGGTCTTATCAATCCTTCATTTAAAGTCTTTGCCTTTTGTATGGGAATTAGAGCAGGTGGGCACAATAAACATGAAAAAGACGTCAAGAAGAATGTGGCTCAAAAGAAAGAAATGTGAACTATTTTAAAGCAATATTTGTATTATATTTGTTCATTTTATTCTATTTCCCTGCAGGTAAATGTTTATCTGGCTACTTGGCTACTGATTAAAGAACACAAAATGAATAATTCAACAAACTCCTCTAACAATGGCCAGGCCCTGCCCAGTCCTTATAAGACATTTGAAGTGGTATTTATTGTCCTTGTGGCTGGATCCCTCAGTCTGGTGACTATTATTGGAAATATCCTAGTCATGGTTTCCATCAAAGTCAACCGCCACCTCCAGACCGTCAACAATTACTTCCTGTTCAGCCTGGCCTGTGCTGACCTCATCATTGGTGTTTTCTCCATGAACTTGTATACCCTCTACACTGTGATTGGCTACTGGCCTTTGGGACCTGTGGTATGTGACCTTTGGTTAGCTCTGGATTATGTGGTCAGCAATGCCTCAGTGATGAATCTGCTCATCATCAGCTTTGACAGGTACTTCTGTGTCACCAAACCACTCACCTACCCAGTCAAGCGAACCACGAAAATGGCGGGCATGATGATAGCAGCCGCTTGGGTCCTCTCCTTCATCCTCTGGGCTCCCGCCATTCTCTTCTGGCAATTCATCGTAGGGGTAAGAACTGTCAAGGATGGGGAATGCTACATTCAGTTTTTCTCCAACGCTGCTGTCACCTTCGGCACTGCCATTGCAGCCTTCTATTTGCCAGTGATCATCATGGCCGTGTTATACTGGCACATATCCCGAGCCAGCAAAAGCAGGATAAAGAAGGACAAGAAGGAGCCTGTGGCCAACCAAGATCCAGTTTCTCCAAGTCTGGTTCAAGGAAGGATAGTGAAGTCTAACAACACCACCATGCCCTGCAGCGATGATGGTCTGGAGCACAGCAGGATCCAGAACGGCAAAGCCCCCAGAGATGCTGTGACTGAAAACTGTGTCCAGGGGGAAGAGAAAGAAAGCTCCAATGACTCCACCTCAGTCAGTGCTGTCGCCTCTAATATGGTATATGATGAAATCACCCAGGATGAAAACACAATCTCCACTTCCCTGGGCTATTCCAAAGATGAGAACTCAAAACAAACATGCATCAAAATTGGCACCAAGACCCAAAAAGGTGACTCGTGTACCCCAACTAATACCACTGTGGAGCTCGTTGGTTCAGCGGGTCAGAATGGAGATGAGAAACAGAACATGTTAGCTCGCAAGATTGTGAAGATGACCAAGCAACCTGCAAAAAAGAAGCCTCCCCCTTCCCGGGAAAAGAAAGTGACCAGGACAATCTTGGCTATTCTGCTGGCTTTCATCATCACCTGGGCCCCATACAATGTCATGGTGCTCATTAACACCTTCTGTGCACCCTGCATCCCCAACACAGTGTGGACAATTGGTTACTGGCTCTGTTACATCAACAGCACGATCAACCCTGCCTGCTATGCACTCTGCAATGCCACCTTCAAGAAGACCTTTAAACACCTTCTCATGTGTCATTACAAGAATATAGGCGCTACAAGGTAAAACCTCTGTAAAGAAGGAAGGAGGTCCAGGGGAGCTTAGGAAGAGGAAAAGGTGTGGAAGAGCTCCTAGTTTTAAAATCTGCCATTGCACTTTATAGTCTAATTGTGGGATGTCCAATTAAGGAGCCAAGCAGTGACACTCTTATGGTGCCTATGCTCCAGTTTGAGAAACTTGCACCTTATTAAACACTATCAGGATGGAGCCATGAGATCATAAAAGAGACACGTTGGAATTGTGGATATAAAGAAGGATCTACGTCTTCCCCTACTTCCTTGAGGAAGGGCTTGCGAATCTACAATTTTGCCAGTCTCTGCACAAGAAGAATAAACTTGCTTGTTTTTTCCCCATTATTTGGTTTCCATGTATCCACATGAAGTTGAAAGGCCACCTTCCTAAGTTAATATGGAGATTTAAACATAAAGAAATTGACATAAAGAAACATAAGAAAATTTAAACATAAAGAAAATCAAAAAAGGATGCAGAAACAATCTCCAGACTCTTCCATAAATATTATTCTTTTGTTGTGGTTTTACTTGGAAAATTACAACATTACAACATTATAAATGCTAATTTTTTTACCATGCCTTTTTCCAACCATTAAAAGAAAGCCAACAAAAAGACAAACCACCCCAACTAGATCACATCATCACTTTTCTCATAATGGCACTATGGCGTGAGTTTGTGTGCTTCTCTGTTCCACTTTGCGTAAAGAGAAAATGTGCAGGACTTTCCCTAAATCCATCCAGATACAGTCATGAAAATGGGCATTTCACCCTTTCCACTTTGTCCTTTGCATTCCTTGGGAGTATAAATGTTTAAAAGGATTGAGTTCACTTTTGATCCTTTATGTGAAATGATTTTATGATCCAGTTTTCTCCTAAACTAGCCTCTTATTTTAATAGAATAGCCAAACTAATACACAAATGTGCTTGAGAAACCAAAGCCATTTTTGAAATTGAGGTATCATCCAATTAAGTCATGGTTGTTCTGGTGTGAGAATGTTTACTGAGGCCAGATGAATTTTGAGATAAGAAAACAGATGGTTGAAAGGGCATTTTGTTTAAACCTCAACCTGCCTGACCCATGTATAAAATGCTAACTTGTAAAACATGAACTCCTGGCCTTTGTCAGCAGGAAGAAGATGCTGCTTTATTCATTAGCAATCCTAAATAGGATTACCATACTCACATGGCACCAGTGACTTCTGGGTCAGCCCCAAGATTAAGACCATCTCTTCAATGCCTGATAAAGCATAATATTCAATTTATAGTCCTCCGAGATTGTTTATAACCATCTTATGATCCTGTGGAGGGGGCAAAAGGATTAATTCAAAAACATTTACTGAAACTACGTTGTGTATTCCTCAAATTGTCAATTCTCCTTAAGCTTTTTAACTCTAAATTTCTCAGTTGAAGTCTAGCCATCTCTGTGATGGAAATGTAGTGGATAACTAAGATCAGGCCATTTGAGCTCAGCTGAATCTGAAAGAAGAATGTAGGTGGCTATACTTATGTCATTTCTTACCACTTCTCTCTAATCCTAGACCATAAAAATTCACCACATACACTGTTATCCAAACAGTGGCTTTATAAAGAATTTTGTACATGTTGAGTGTTTTTATTTGTTACTCCAGCTAAACATGAATTAGAGTGATTCACATTTAAAATTAATTATTTTCATCTCTCAGCTTTTTTCTTACTATATTTATTATAGCTCTCCAATCAGATTTTGTAAAGATGACCCAATCAATAGAAATCAAAGTTATAAAAGTCTTTCAAAATTTCATATTTTGCATTTTAGGCTTATGGGCTCTATGACATCATGCCAGTATGACATCATGTCAGTAACATCAATGTGAGTTGCATGATGATTTGTCAGTGTGAGATCTTACCACTGTAAGGTCATTTTGTGTGACTTGCCCCATTGATGGCACCTCAATAATTTTGAGATTAAAAAAGAAGCACAATGCAAGCAACAACAAAAAAGAACAGTAAGAAGAAAATTGCCAACAATATTTGTGTTTAATTTATCCTTTATAAAAATACCTTCTTGCCCAAATAACTTCAGTGTTTTTTTTTCCCTCCCAAATCCTCTATGTATACACATATAGCATCTGTTCATATAGATTCCTTTATTCTACAGTTGCACCGATGTAAACTTTACATTTTAACTCCATATTTATTTTTCTTCTTGGAATCAATGAATAAATCAAGAGTGAGGAATATCAAGTCAATGGGTTATTTGGTTTCCTGTAAACAATATGACTGACTAGCTGGATATTTCACATATTAGCTTGTTGTACAATTATGATGTAAATTCAGCTTTAATTAGGAAGAATTCTTTGGTTGCAAAGATTTAGGATTCTGGATTCGGATCTTTTTTTTCTTGTCTTCTGTAACAATCCAACTTATCATGAGTCCAACTGCCTCTTCTCTTTATTGCATCATCTTCTTCCTTTTTTCCCTTGATCTTTGCCGTCATCTCCCGTCTTGTTGAAAGAGAAACCACCAAGTATTAAAGAAAGGAACTGAAGATTGACACATCATCTAAGCTTTGTCAACCAGAATCAAAAAATGGAAAGGAAAGAATACTGAATTGATAAATGATTAGAAAGATATGGAGACTGTACTCAAGGATTTGCACTCAGTATGGCTGGGATTGTCTGTTTTAGTGACTCTTAACCAGGAACAATTTTGCTCCCAAGGAACATTTAACAATACGTGGAAGGATTTTTGATTGCCACAGTTCCAGCTCCTGGAAGATACATTGGCACGTGGTGGCTGGAAGTCAGGGAGGCTGCTAAACAACCCGACAACTAAGAATCACTTGGTTCAAAATGTCAGTAGTGCCAAAGTTGAGAAACCCTGATGTATTTTACGGGATTCTAGAGTTAACTTCATTTAAATGGGAAAATAATCCTATATCATTATTAGAATATCAGTGCAAATTATTCATCTGTTTAAATAAGATAATGCTCACCAATTGTATATCAGACCCACAGTTGGTGGTTCACTGAGCCTGGAGTTTTTGGAATTTGTAGAGTGGAAACACAGGCCACATCTATATACCCAAAATGACCAGATCACTCACGCTAGCACAATGTTTCTAACATTTTAATATGCAGTTATTATCATCGCAAGTCCAGTCAACTGAGATGAAGTAGTTGTCCATTGCAATGACTGCAGTTGCTGCAGTTAGTTCTATTGCAGCTGCCATTTTTCCTTTAAAATCATGAAGAGTTTCTTACAGAAACAATGTCTCATCTCTTTTGTGGTCACTGGAAAGATAAACATCCATCAAAAATTTCTCTCCTTATAGCAATAATGTAAATATCCCAGAGTGGTCTTAGAAGAAGAGGAGACAAAGAATGTGTGTGTGGGGGGGAGTTCATTTCTTGAAAAAAGAAACGATAGCCCTTTTACCAGTTCATCATTAATTTAATGCCAGCTCCCCAGTGTTATGAACAGTTACCAATATAATAATTAACATGGGATATATACTCCAGCTTCATCACAGAAGCTGGAGATCCACAGACTCATATTCTTTGTCTATTCACAGCTTTTTTTGATCCTAATGATCTGATATAGAGGAAGATGGGCATTTAAATGATAGAAAAATCAACTAAGAAATGACACATAACTTTATGTTCTCCTTAGTTCATTGATAGCTGCCTTCTCCCAGTTGAATAATATCCCTTTCAACAACCACAGTAGTGGTGTTGCAATAGATTAGGGAAGCACCCAAATCTGGATGAATTGTGCAAAGTGTATTTTCAGCATGTATATACCATGCCATGCCTCATAAATATGCTTCTCTTAAAAGGGTGCACGCTGCAGCATGAACTGTGTGCATATTAAGTGTATCTCCTGGAATATGCTGTATGCTTAATATACATATTCTATAAATAAAGTAATGAACTGTATAATAGAAATACATATTTCTGTATGCAAATAAATATATTATACACAAAACTTGGTATGTTATATCACATATGTTGCTTTAGAGTAATAAGGGATTTTTTTATGCCTAAGTTTAGAAGAGAGTGTTTGCTTCTGATGGAAGAGATTTAAGTACAGTCAAAATCCTACTCATTAATATTAAACTGATTTATCGCCTTTGAAAGCATGGCACTGATTTTAAATATCTCTTGGAGGAATATATTAATAAATCGTAGCTGGTCTCACCTCACATAATGACAATGCATTTTGCTCCCGTGCTCCTAACAGACTCTGACTAGAAGTTTCTTGGCTGTTACAGTTCCAGCAGCTGTGTTGAAGTCAAGTCTGATTGCCTGATGAGATTGCAACCAATTCATTTTGCTTTGCTCTCATCCAAATTAACTGATTTTTGTCAAATATAAAATAATCACACTGGGAGGAAAGGATAACCTTCAGAATGTTTTTCATTCTGAAAAACAAGGTAAAAATTGTGTAAGCACAGGATTTTTTTATAAACTGCCCTTTTCAGTTTGGGTCCGATACAACAACTCATATATTAAATGCCAAAATGTTTTAGTGTGGTATGAACATACACGTTTCTCCAAGAAATGAGCAAAAAGATGGTTTATTTCTGAGTATTCTGCATTTACCCCATAGCAAATCCTCTCCCTCTCCTGACACCCACTCAGCCACCCACATTGCCCAGACCATTTTCTTTGGTCTATTAGCTTGAATTCTCAGTTAACAGAGAGTGTTATTAGTTGATACTTGCCATGCAATCCTGAATGATACTTGCATTTTCATAAAAAAATCAAATACTGAACATTTGAAAGAGGCCTATTAATCTTTAGTTACCAAGGGCTCCATGGAAAGGCATTTTTCAGTGAATTCTAGTGTTTTCAAATTTTATAACATACTTCGATGTCTCTCCATTCCAAATTTTACCTTTGATACCACAATCCATCCTTGTGATTTCACTTTATCTAAACTAAAATCATTTCATTTTTTTCATTAAAGAAAATAATTGAGTTTTTATCAATTCTCATTAGTTTCTTATTGTGCCAGTGAAATGTTCTCATTTCATTTTCAGAATTTGAATCAAATTCTGTATTTGATTAATTGTCAAATATTACTCCTGATGTGGTGGTTGCCAGTACTGAAACAGGGAAACCACCTGGCATATAGGAAGAGCTGGCCTAAAGAGCCGGCCTTATAGCATGTCTAAATCAAGCATGTTCAGGGCAGGCTCACTTTCCATTCGGGCAGTTGGATAGAGTCTGGAGCCTTCGGTGGGGTTTTACATGCCTTAACGCTCTCAAGGAACCAGGTACACAAGAGGCATCGCAAGCAGGAAGGTTGGCATGGAAGGAGGCAGGCATGGGCTGGGCAGAGGGGCTGGGAGACAGGCAACCGAGCCCCCCAGGAATCTTTGCTTTTTCTCTGCCCTCTCTCTGGAGGTTTTAGTCACGGTCTTACGTGTCACCTGAGAGTGGGCCCCTCACTGTGCTGCCTCCACTGTATGTATCCCTCTCCCCTAGGCACAGGCGTAAGTAAGCATTCATACATGCGCATGGCCTTCTCTCTGGGCCCAGGTGTCTTAATTTCAGGCGCGCACGCCCAGTGCTCACCCTCCCGAGCACGTAGGTGGCAGGAAGCTGAGGAAGCTTAGCAACCAGAAGGTGGAAAAAAGCCTCGCCACTCCACTGACCCTTCACATGACCAGTGTTTCTCAATCAAAAATGGAAGAAGCTGAATGTGGTAAGTTGCATAATGTTGATATTTGCTAAATAGATAATAACACTCTAGAGAATCTCTCCTTTGATTTTCCTAAATACGTACTCATATAATGAGTCATGGACAATTGCAAAGTGAAAAAGGGATCTGTCTTCTTTATTTTCACCATATACACAGCAGCTCATCTGAACCCTAGAAATCTAACTTTAATGGAAATGTGTGTATCTTTGGAGGTTTTAATATTAAGTATCATGTTTGGCCTATTATAAAATAAAAATTGATGTTAGTGCATCTGTGACCAGAAAGCATTACAATGGTTTGTGGAGATGGCTAATTTAAATCCTGATAATAGTTGGACTATTTGTATGAAGCAACAAAGTGATGATTCATTCTATCCTTTTCTTTTTACGTTTGTATAGAAGAACTGTTGGCCAGAGGTTGGGGTGGGGGAGGGGGAAAAGGTGAGAGGATTCACCAGAGACAGAGTGGGGAGCAGAACAGGCAGACTGACTGAAATACACTGCTGAGTGGAGCAGTGGGTGAGACGGGGGTGGTCTGCTGCTACCATATGTGGGTCCACTCCGTGACTGGGGATTGAACTCAGGTTGTAGGGGTGATGGCACTGAGAATTAACCCCCTAGGCCACCAGGGAGGCTCCTCTTTCTATACTTAAAGCAATTTCTTCAGCATAGTAAGTCTTGCTTGCCTTACTGCCCAGGTGCGTCAACTTGTGATATCATGAGTATCTTTCCCAGGGCCATTTTATCTCACACCAGGTGTCAGTGGTTCTCAAACTTAAGCCTTCAATAGAATCACCTAGAGGGCTTGTTGAACATAGGTTGCTGGGGCCCACCCCAAGACTTTGATTCAGTAACTGAAATAGGTCTGGAAATTTGCCTTCTACACAAGCAATTGTGATGAGGACCATACTTTGAGACCCACTGACTTTTTTTTTTTAAATAATAAATTTTATTTTTATATTCCCCATACAATTGCAACCCCCCAATTCTGACCCCAATCCCTCCCCTCCCACCCCCCACCCCCCAAAAAGTGTCTCTGGTTCATAGTTTTTTGTTGATTTTGATTTTCACTTTCTTATAGTTACTCATTTTCCTGGTCCCTTATTTAAGTTTTCTAGATTCCCCACTGACTTTTATAATCAAATAGAAATTTTCCCCCAAAGCATTCATGGTAACTGGCAAGATATCTTAGTGATGGCAAAGACTTAACATTTAAGACACTTTGCATGGGAAAGGAAATACTTTCTTAGACATGAACTTTGTTGCTCACTTACACATGGTCTTCTCCTCTCTTTGTCTTTTTGGAAAGTTTTGGTGCAGTGATCTGAATCGGGAATTAAAAAATAACCATATTGAACAATTTACTTGACAAATACATCAAGGGTTTGATTTCTGTCAGTGGTATCTCCAGTTGAAGATGTTTTAATCAGACATTTAGTGAGAACACCTGCATTGTACATTTATATCGCTCTTGTGTGCAAGATCCATATGAATATTTTGAATTATGTCATTGTTTAGAATTGATGCCAAGTAAAAAATGCCAAGTGAAAAATATTTGTATTTTAATAGCAAATCATTGACCTTGCTTTATCACACATGATCACACATAGATACATACACAAACTCACATGCTCAGACACAAAAGCACACGTATGCACACTTGTACACATAGATACATCAAATACACACAACATACCCTCACACACAGCTCATTTGTGTATCTTGACAGTGCCCAGCTGCATAACCTTTCTATTACTTCCAAAAGCATTTGGAACTCTGCTAGAGAAGACAATGAGCTCTCAAGTGAGCCAAGTGGTATTGGAGGAAAAAATTCTGTGTCCTCATTGTATGATGGTCAGTAAAGTACAGAAGCACAGCTCTTATGATCACATATGAGCTTGAGCGTCAGGTCTGCCCCCTCACATCCCATGTGATTACATGGGCCATGGTGAGAATACTTGCTTAGAGTGGAGAAATACATCACGAGAGCTAAAAGACACACCTACAAACCCAACTCTCTACAATGGGGACCCTCGCACACGATGCTGTGATACAATGTGCTATTTTTAATATCAACAATGACTAAATAGCTGAGTAGAAACAAAAGTGACTGATTTCTTAGAACAGTCTTTATGAACTCCCCCTCAGACATTCTTTTTAGATTTAAAATCTTTATATACCTTTATGTATTTATAAATAGAAATGATAAATACTTTGAATATGTAGGAGTTAACCAAATATAACCAAAACGCCTGGTATCCTGGAAAACAAACAAAAAGTACGGAATGCATATTTTATCTTGCTGAGAAAGTAAGATTGCCTGCCAGGTTATCTTGTTTGTGCTTCTCTTGGGATTCTCCTAATATTTTGTTTATTAATCAAGAAGAAAAGGGGGTCATTTATTAAATGACTGAATAAAATCATTTTGCTTTTTTCTCACCCTGATCAGTAACTTAATCTACATAGGAAATATAATCTGAAAAAAATTATATTGAAGGGAAAAAACATCAGGAATAAAATTAGGGACAAAATAACAGTAATAAAAATATGATTTCCCAGTGAAGAAAGGAACATATCCTCAGTTCTCTCAGAGAATTTACAATAAATATTTAGTAGAACATATCCCCCACGTTCTTAGATTTTTTTTTTTTTGTACAGTCACTTTCTTTGTCTTTTTTTATTATATTTACTAAGATCTTTCCTAATGTTTTTAAAGTAATTTTTAAAAATGTTTTGAAAGGTAAACACACAAAAAATACCATTTCCCTAAACTTATTTTTATTTTTTTTTAATATCCAAAGAAGCAGGCTTACTAGGAAAAGGAGAGAGAAAAAGAGGCCCCAACATATTCACAGGCAAGCAGGAAGGGCTGCTTCTGAAAGGGACAGGTTTGTTAAAGAGATGCCTGCATAGTCACAGGCAGACGGTCTTGGGAGGAGAGCTGTCAACTTATTTATTATTTTTGTTGTATGACATTGCTATTCTAGAAAGCAGGAAAAAAATTAACTGCTAATAAGGACCCATATGCTCTGAAAATCAAAATGTTGAGACTTCAACAACACAGAAAAATGATATGGCTTCAAATGAAAAAACAGTTTTGTGTGCAGATGGTTTCCATGTGCAATTAATTCTGGAAATCATGGCTTCTATTTCCTCTGTGTCCTTGGAGGCCCCCTCACAGCTGTTTGCTGTGCATTGAACACCAATCCTCTGTCACCCTACCCCACACCAGGCCTGATGGGGACATGCGTGGGCATGATCATCA